CCCTTATGAGAGACGTATTCGTGTTATTCCCATTTTGAATAGGAGGACACTGCAGCACTGAGAGGTTAAGACCTTGTCCCAGGCATACAGCTGCTAAGTGCCAGAGCTGGGACCTCAACCCACCTGGCTGCAGCACCCATACCTGTACCTACCTGTCTATGCAATATCAAAAATCAAGCAATAATAAAGCAAAAGGGAACCAAAGAATAAGGGGAAACCTCCCCAACCTCCCTCAAAACAGATTATTATGTGATGGGGAGAATATTTTGTTCTTCTACCTCAGCAAGAAGGACTATTTAGTCCAGTAGACAGCCCCCCCCCAAAAAACACCATATTATCATAGCTAGGGAAATAGGTAGTGTGTAAGGCCCAAAAGAAGTAGATGGATGTGAGTGAAATAAAGAAGTCAGACTAGAGAAAATGATATCTTGCATTCTTTCTTGCCAATCAGATTTTCTTTTCTTTTTTTTTTTGAGACAGAGTTTTACTCTGTCACCTCAGGTAGAGTAGAGTCATCATAGCTCACTGCAACCTCAAACTCCTGGGCTCAAGTGATCCTCCTGCCTCGGCCTCCCTAGGAGCTGGGACTACAGGCACGCACCACCACGCCTGGCTAGTTTTTCTATTTTTATTAGAGATGGGGTCTTGCTCTTACTCAGGCTGGTCTTGAACTCCTGAGCTCAAGCAATCCTCCTGCCTCAGCCTCCCAGAGTGCTAGGATTACAGGAATGTGCTACTACACTGGGCCCCAATCAGATTTTCCAAGTAGGATGTTGTTTTGTGGCAATTTAATACGAATTCTTCTAGCAGAAGCTGGTGGCTGGGGTAGGCTGTCTGACCAACAGGGTATAAACAGATACTTGTGGAATCAAACAATAAAGGACAGAAGAAGGACAAGCATTAAGTAAGTGTGTGACGAACACATTTTGGGTGCCATTTTGTGAAGAAATAAATGATTTGCTTGATTAGAAAATAAACGTTCATGCTTACCTCCTCGAAGAAATTTAGCACTGAGAAAAGAGCAGAAGGTGAAGACATGTCCACGGTGTCACAGACGTTAGGGACAGAGTTAGTAAGGATGCATCGTGGCTCTATGCCCAACTCAACTCTGGTTTTTCAAAAAAACTAATCCAAGTCCTGTCTACTCACCGTAAGCCCAGGTCTCGTGCGTGGAGGCTTTCTGCCTAAACTTCTCAGCAAGGTGCTCCAAGCGCTCCAGTCTCCGGATCTCATTGAGCAACCATTCCTCGTAACCCTTCTCCGCCTGCTCCAGCCTCTGCCAGGCACCAGCAATGTCCTGGGAGGGTTCGAGGACAAGTGAAGGAACATTCGTCACGCTCTGGTTTCTTGGGCTTCTTCTATAAATCCCTTCTGCTATGTGATCAAGAGTATTTTTTCTTTTGTTTTCTTTTCCTTGCCCCTCCCCCACAAATAACCATTCAACGATTTTGGCTCCACAAATGTCTTAATTATCACTGGAAGCTTTTAAAACTAACATAGTTGTTATCATCAGCGAACCGGACACTTCTCCAGGTGTGGACAAAGATGTAGAGGGCTCACATTTTCTCACTATAAGATAAAGCCTCAAAGTGACTCAGTTCAAAACAGCTCTTATTCAGCGACTGGGACGCCACCGGCAACTACCTGCTGGGCAACCTCACCGACCAGGCACTAGTGAGAAGCTTTGTAAGAGTAAGTAACACCTAGAAAGTTCCCTGCCCCCATCGGCTTTCATGATTGTTGAGGGAGGGACAGACAATAAATAAGCAATTAAGCAAGTTCATTTCGGAAAGTGGTAGATGCTGTGAAAGAAAACCAAAACAGGCTCAAGGGACACCGAGAGCCCGAGGTGGTGGCCCCTTTAGGCAAGTTACTTAAGAGAAGACCCCTCTCTGAGGAGGTGGCATTTGAGCTGAGACCTCCAGGACAGGAAGAGCCAGTTATGAGAAGAATGGGGGAGCGAGTGCTGCTGGGCGAGGGAAGGAGCTCAAAGGCCCCAGGAAGCGATGCCCCAGATGTGTGGGAAGGAGGACGCAGGCCAGTGCGGCAGTGGCACAGCGAGCTGGGGCAGAGCAGCTAGAGTGCGATCAGCGAGGCAGAAGGCGGCGGTGTCAGATCACGTAGGACCTTACAGGCCAGGATAATGAACCTCGATTTTACTCCAAAGGCTTTGAGAAGTCACTGGAGGGTTTCGAGAAGAAAGGAAACAAGACCTGATTCATATTTTTTTTTTTTTGAGACAGAGTCTCCCTTTGTTGCCCGGGCTACAGTGAGTGCTGTGGCGTCAGCCTAGCTTACAGCAAACCTCAAACTCCTGGGCTCAAGCAATCCTTCTGCCTCAGCCTCCCGAGTACCTGGGACTACAGGCGTGCGCCACCATGCCCGGCTAATTTTTTTTCTATATATATATTTTTAGTTGTCCAGATCATTTCTTTCTATTTTTTAGTAGAGATGGGGTCTCGCTCTTGCTCAGGCTGGTCTCGAACTCCTGACCTTGAGCAATCCACCCGCCTGGGCCTCCCAGAGTGCTAGGATTACAGGCGTGAGCCACCGCGCCCGGCCTCTGATTCACATTTTTGAAAGATGACAGAGGCTGCCGTGTGGGGGATGAATTTTAGAAGACAAAAGAAAAAAGAGAGCCAGCGCAGGGTGCAAGGAGAGAGAACGGTGGCTCTGCACAGGCCGAGGACAGTGGGGGAGGAGAGGGGTGTTGAGAGTATTTAAGACATCTGGAGGAAGTGCCAATGGGGCGGGCTGAGCAACTGGATGAAAGAAAGTGACAGAAAGGGAAGAACCGAGGATGAAACCTGGGCTTGGAGCTTTGGCAATTTAGAGCAGTGGTCCCCAGCCTTTTTGGTACCAGGGACTAGTTCCATGGAAGACGACTTTTCCACAGTCGGTGGGGTGGAGCTCAGGCCGTGACGGGAGCAATGGGCACCTGCCAAGACTCTCTGGCTCCTGCTGAGCAGTTCCCTGCCCCCATTCCTAAGTTTCATGGAAGATGATTTTTCCATGGATTGGGGGAGGGGCGCGGCACAGCTCTGTGGCTCAGGGGTTGGGGACCGCAGACTTAGAGGACAGTGACACAATTGACTAGGATAGGGGAAACTGTGGCAAGACTCTTTTGGATACATTAGGTTTGAAATGCATTTGAGGCATCTGGGCAGGTGTGAGGGCCTGGAACATAGGGAGACGCCGAAGCTGGAGACGTAAGATTTGAGAGGCATCGGCATGTAGGTGGTAACTAAAGCCGGGCTGGGATGAGATCACCTGGAGGGTGTAAACATAGGGAAGAGGCTCAGCACCAAGACTGGGGAGGGGTCCAGCATCTAAAAATGGGAGAGAAGGCCTCACTGGAAAGGAAGGGAGAAAACAGGAGGCCCAAGCAAGAAGAGTTTCAAGAAAGAGGCAACAGGCAACTGATCAAAGCTCCTGAGAACATAAAAGTAAACGTGATAATCGAGATGCCAACTCGGATGCCACTGACTGCACCGAGAACAGTATGGCTGGGAGCCAGGTCACTGTAGGTTGAAAGGTAAAAGAAGAAAGTGAGCTGTGAGGAAGTGGGAACCGCTACTACCAAGAACCCTTTCGAGATGTTTTGCCATAAAGGGGGCCAAGAAATGGGACAGCAGCTATAGAGAGATGTGGAGTCATAGGTCTCTGCTTTTGTTTGCCGATGGGAATGACTCCGTAGGGAAGGAGAAAGAGATGATGCAAAGGAGAGGGAGATAAATGTAGGATTCAGACCCTGTGAAGGTGAACTGGGCAGGGAAGAGAGGGTATGTGATCTAGACGCTTACATATCTAGTGGGGGAGGACGAGGCAAGGTCCTGGGGAGGGGAGAAGAGCAGGAGGCCACTCCCCAAGCATTTGCTAAAGGCCTGCTTTTTTGTAAGGCACCGCATAGCAATGGTGACAGAGTCGAGGACTGCATCATGGGCGGGAGAAAAGTATCAAGAATGAAGTGGGACGGGGCCAAAGTTATACTCACACAACTGAAAAGACTCAAGATGTCAATACCTCCTTCTGGCCCAGATCAAGAGCCTTTAGGAAAAAAAGAGGCTTCCCCAGGGGCCGCGGGGGCTCAGCTCTCGTCACTCACCGACACCATCTTGCCCTCCGAGGGCATGAAGGCGGGCCGGTTGCTGATCCGCAGCTTGGTCTGCAGCGTGTTGAAGTTGATCTCCAGCTGGCACTTCTCCTGCACCTTGGGGGGCTTGTGCTTCCGGCGGTAATCCCGGAAGTCCTCCAGCTTCTTCTGCATGGCTTGCATGGTCTTCTCGGGAGTCCGGTTCTCAAGCCAGGGGATCGTGCGGCGGATCCATTCCAAAAGCTGCTCCCAAAACACAAAGATACTGCTGAAGACACCAGTGAACTGTTCCCAGTTAAAAAACAGAGGCATCTGATAATTTGGAACGGATTAGCCTAATGTTCCTAAAATTACTGAAATGTGGTCACAATACCCCTGGACTTGAAGGAGGGGAAAGGCACTTCTGTGCACAATGGCATGAATGAAATTTTCAGTGTCCACCCATGGCTGCTAGTGATCATCCCTAAGGTACCGTACACAGGTTAAAAACTTAAAGTCAGCACATAAAGTCGTGTTTTACAAAAATGTGACATTTACAGGAAACTCAGGGACCAGACATTAGCAGACAAATGCTGGATGGAGCTTTCAAATTAAAAAAAAAAAAAACAAAAAACCTGACATGGTGGAAATGTACCATAATAAATTCAGCAAATTGGGTTTAACTTAAAATGCATTTTTTAAAAATAAGCTTGAATCTAATGAATTTATTTACTGTACAAATATATTGTAAGCCTGGGATTGACTCAATACCAAAGTATATTTTAACATCTAGCTTTTAAGTAAATCTGCATGATATAAGTGAAAATGGTAGTGGATTCCTAAGGACAAAATATGTACTTCTCTTGAATTCCTATCCAGGTCTTGGAAATGGCCTGCTGAAAAGGTCATCATTTACACTTATACCTACTGATCACTTGGAAAATGGCAGCAGATTAGAGTAAAAAATAGCTAAAATGGTGATATAGCTGTAGTCTAAGGGTTGTAGGAGGATAAATGAAGGACCAAGTAAGAAAAGGAAGGCTGAAATTACTGAGGATCGTGTCCTTCAGTCCCAGTCATGCTTCAACCCTGAGGTTTATAATGCCATCAAACTGAATTTTTCTTTTGTTTTTTTTTAAAGATGGGTCCTCTGTTGCCCAGGCTGGACTACAGTGGCATCGGCATAGCTCCCTGCAGCTGCAAACTCCTGGGCTCAGGGGATCCTTCAACCTCAGCCTCCCAAGTATCTGGCACTACTGGTGTGTACTTCCATGCTTGGCTAATTTTTAAAAATTGTTTTGTAGAGATGGGGTTTTGCTGTGTTATCTAGGCTGGTCTTGAACTCCTGACTTCAAGTAATCCTCCCTCCCTGGCCTTCGAAAGTGCTGAGATTACAGGCATGAGCCACCTCACTTGGCCCCAAGTTGAATTTTTCCATAGCAGCAGTATGAAAATATAAACTCAGTTATCATTAAATTGCATTAATATATAAACCACTACTTGGACAGATTTATTCCACGTTTCCTGATATTTTTCCCAGTATGGACCAAATATCAGCTAAATTAAAAGTCAGAGCAAAAATTATTTGGTCTTGATATATGTCACTGTGCTTGAGTCCAATCTGGAGAGGATGTGGCCATGGGCCTCACTTAGCCCAACACTGTTTTTCCTACTTGTATCAGGGAAAACAGACCCGAGGCAGCGAGGAGATGCTTAGCTGCTATTTATAAGAACAAAAAAAGGAACAACATGGAAAGTGCTGTTCTAACCAAGAATCTGGCTGAAGAGCTGTGGAAAGGCACCATAGAAACTCACGCTCAAATATCCTGGGAAGGCCGAGGGCTCTATCTTCCCCAGATTTCCCTTTAGATATTTATATAGACACACAAGGCTGAGCCACCTCCTCACAACAGGCTGGGCAAGTTGCTTTGACACTTCGTCACTGTGTGCGGCAAGGCTTCTGAATATGGATTATATCCTATGTGATGTCAGTAGCCAATGAAACAGGGGAAAAAACCAAGTAATGCAATGTTGTCTAGGGGTGTCCGACACGGGGGTACAGAACTGAGCATGGAATCACATTCTGCTACCCTCAAACATGCAGACTGCCTCTCTGCTTTGGGATCATTGGAGAGACCATCAGGATTACATTTGTGCCCATAGTTAGTTATGCTGCTACAAGATGAACAACCTAGGAGATCAATCATATTTTCCTTCTTTTGGCCTGAGATGAAAAATGCAAAAAAAAAAAAAAAAAAAAAAAACACGGACAATCCGTTTTCACCCCCTGGGTCAGTGTGGATGGAGCTGTGGTCGCCAGTTTCCTTTACCTCACTTGCTAGCCTCTCATATTCTTCCATCAGCCTCTCATTCTCTTGATTCACAGCAAGAACCTTACATATCCTGTTAGCTGCCGTCTCGGCCTGTAAAACACAATAGGTAAACAGGACAGCTCTGTCGCGGGGGAGGCACACACAGAACTCAACGAGGCAGGGGACGGGAGGTGACGAGGGAGATGGCGTGCTGTAAATGGCGCGGAGTCTAGGTTAGGGTGGGGTAAGACCGAGGGCATGGCTTTTTCATACTATGAATTATTTCACACCTTTTTTTTTTTTTACAGTTTTCACACAGACTTACACGGCGGGCTGATTATACTGTAGGGAATAACGGGGAGATACCATTAGTCTGAAACACAAGCTTTGTAAAACATTGAGCAAGTTAGTAACAGAAACATATACGTCAAGGGAACCAAGATCTTGGGTCTCTGAACATCCACCTGAACTCTCCACTGATCTCATGACGGTGGGTAAGAAACTCCCCGCTAACACTGGCCTTTGGAAATCTAAGCAAAAATGATAGGGTCCCCAAAATATACATATATGTATGTATGTATGTATCACTGCACTTGAATTCACTGAAGCCCTCATCTCCTGAGAGGAATACATAGGACTTTCTAGATGGATCCTTCCACAGAGCTGAGCTTGTTTTAACCTACGTGAGAAGTCACTGAGGTAATAAATTCTTTTCTTTTTTTTTCTTTTTTTAATGTTTTTTTCCGAGATATGGAAAATAAATTATTTTCTATTGTCATTTGTGGAGGGGAACCTGGGCCAGGCGTAGTAAAGTGCTTTGAATCACGATCATACGATGGAACAAGAACAGAAACGTGCCTGTCTAGGCTTCCAGACTGTTCCAAAGCCTCAGTCTAAAGCCCTAACTGGCCTTAACAGGCCTATCTTCCAGTCATTTCCCAGTGACGGTCTTTAAAGCGATCACGGAAGGCATACCTACTCTGCCCATGCTGGTCCACCAGGGTTCTCTAAGTACGCAAAGGGTCAAGACGCAGAACCTGGCAGGTGTGCAGAGAGGTGAGGGATATTCTCTCTCAGTGTCCCTCAGGCTGTTTGTCTCAAGGAATATAAATTTTTTTTGAGGTTTGAACACTGTTATCCCTTTTACTATTTCACTGAAAATAAGATTAGTCTTGAAAGATGTTAGAACAAATCACTGAACAGTGATGGCAATTTGTAGGCAGAGAAGAATGAGGGGGTATCAGAAAGGCAGTCATTTCTCCACTTAGTATGCAGGGCTCAATTTTCATGACACTTGTTGTGTTTTGTTTCTAAAGCACAATTTTTTTCCACAACTTTCTAATGAAATAAAGGAAGTATCTTAAAAGAAAAATACATAAAAACACTTTAGGAGCTGTCTACAGTTAAAGCTGTTAAGAAAAACAGTATTCACCAGTGTAGAACTTGCCGCATTATGTTATTATAAAACACGTAGAAAGATTCCAAGGTAAGATGTGAAGCGCACAGACGCACACCCAGGTACACACACGCACACGCACACGCAACTAAAACCGATACAGAAGAGCGACATGACAGCCTAGACGGACAAGCGTTGAGTACCTGCTCCGCGCCCGCAAAGGCGTGGTAGAAGCAAGAGACGTACGTCATGATGGCTCTTTCATCGGGTTTGGGGGTGTTCACAATGTCTGAAGGGGGAGAAAATAACACAGGACACAGACACACACAGACGAAGAGGAGGACCAGGGGGAACAAAGGAAAGAACAAATTGGTTTACACCGACCAATTCTCTGTGTGTTTCATGGGCCCACGATGCTGAACCTCAGGGAGACCGTACAGTATTGACAGGATTTGTGAACGGAATGATTTGAACCAGCACGTTTCCTTAATGACCAAACTGAGGGCTCGTTTTCTCCCCAACCGCTTGACAGGTTTTTAAAAGTACATTCATGTGAGAACCCCTCTGCTGCAGACCAGAGCTCATAACCGCTTCCGCCTGACTCTGGTCCTTTAACCGTGCCAGGGTGTCTGGCGCTCTTGTTCTCAGGAGTTCTCAATGTCACCTTGCAAGGTGGTGGGAATGCCGGCAGCGCTACACTGTGCTCTCTGTCTCCATCCCCGCCCTCATCACCGTTGGGGATTTCTGCTCTGTAACCTGCCCTGGCTTGTGTGAGGATGGAATTCGCTGGAGAAGGTATGTCTTTTAACACCTTCTATACATACTTACCACATCGCTTGCTTACGGAAATCACCCAGCGTGACAAAACATACAGAGAGAGGGGAACACATGGCTCATGTTTATTAAGACTCTTGCTACTCTTTGTAGTAATTGCTGAAATACCCAACAGGAAGAGAGAAAACAGAACCATGTGAACCTACATCTTTTCTCTTCCTCCACCTTGGCAACACTATTTTTTTGTTTTCTCGTAAATTGCTTTTTAACCTTGTTCATAAACTCGGGTCAGTCATGATAGAATGAAGTTAAAACTATCCCTTGTAATTCCTCACGGTGAAACCCAGTCAATGGGTTTGCAGAGACTACTAACAGAAAGGATGTGGGGTTGTGTATCTCTATGGAACCTTCTGGAAAACAAACATGAACAGCATGCCACTGCATGAACAGAAAGTAAGTTTCAAAAAAAAAAAAATAGAATAAAAAAGACAAACGACTGCTTCCTCAGAACCAGATGGGTCTCCTTATTCTGCGGGGAAGAGGAAAGAAAGAGGAAAACAATTGGGAAAAAAAATTAAGACACAGAAGGTGAAGGGTGAGCGGTGACTCATGTTGTACATCCTCACCTTCTGTGCACCAGCAAAAGCATGATAGTAACAGGAGACATAAGTCATTAGGGCTCTTTCATCAGGTCTGGCAGTGTATACTAAATCTGTGTGGAGAAAAGAAGGTTAACTGCTTGACGTTCTAACACCAGCAGGCTTCTGCTAATGCTTCCTCAGAGAAGTCAGCGTCATGAATCCCCCCTCACCCCCACACGTTCATGTTGTTAAAATCTTGCTTGAATCAAAGAAGTCACGCCTACAAGGTCATTACTGTCTTTGTACTCTTGAGAACTGCCGAAGGAAATAAAGGAACTGCCAAAGAGAAGGGCATGGCTGGCCCAGAAGTGCCCTGAACTGCAAGAAAGGTCCATCCATGGTCAGAATCAGGCCTCCAGAATTCGACATGATGTGCCCAACGGCACATCCTGGGGACTTTCTGTCACTGCACACAAGCAGGGCCCAGGGGTCAACAAGATCCCTTTGCAAGTCCACCCAGAACACAGGTGCCCACAGACCTAAACCCAGCGCTCACTTCAAAAATGGTTTGTGGAGGGAAATAGGGAAACAATTCTCATAACCTCTTACAAGTATGACAGATAGTTGAGAAAGAGTTTCACCAGTTTTTACCACAAGTGACAATTCATGAAGGAGGGGGACAATTAGCTACTTGAAAACCCCCACTTAAGGTTCAGAGACCAACACAAACGATGGAAAGTGAGGTCCACAGTGCAGGCAGGGCGGGAGGCAAGGACTCGCCGAAAGGCACCAATGATCCGAGAAGAGGAGACCCGGACCCGGCATTCTAAAAGAGCAGCAGAGATAAGCAGATGTTAATATAATGCCAGGGCAATGGTTAAGCCGGAATGTAGGCAGCAAACGTGCAAGAGGGGACACGTGGGGCAGATCTGTTGGGTAGTTGCATCACAGCGTGCTCCGTACCCAAGGCAGCCAAGCTCAGATATTCGCCAGAAGATTCTTATGAGAAATTATTCCACAAAGGTAATGATACAGTGTGTGAGCGATCTTCTGAGCCATTAAAAGAGACAGATGAAGAAAAGTAATAAAAGGCAAGGAAGGGGAAATGAACACGGTGCTGATGCACTCATCTGCCGAAGGATAAACAGAACAGACACAGTCCCAGACCAGGACGCAGAGACTAAGGAAAAACCGAAGAACTGAAAAGAACATCAGCAGTGCCAGAGTGATGCTGACAGTGACACTGCTAATGGTTGTGAGTGAGCGTTTAAACATGGAACGCACCTTCAGATTGAGGATATTAGGGAGGCATTAACAAACTGGAAGATAAATTTATTAAATGTTGCCTATTTTCTCCTCTCTATTGTATCCTGGCTATTAATTTAAGTGAGCAAACTCTGAGTAGTTACTGATTGTATGAAAGGTCAAAGGAGAGACCACACGAATATTAGGGAGGACAGATGGACAAAGAAAAAAAGGAAATTTTCTATGTTCCCATTTATCTGTTGTGTTGACTTTCTCCCTCTAAAGAGTTTTGGAGAAACCATAAGTTGAATCCTGAATAATGTATTCAAGTTTTAACACCCAACAATACAGATGCTTGATAAAATAGTTAAATTAATAAGTGGGCAAAATTATTAATAGAATCCTAATTAAAAGATCTTGCAACTCCCAGAAAGATATGTTTAAGTCCTAACCTCTGGTACCTGTGAATGTGACCTTATTTGGAAGTAAGGTCTTTGCGAATATAATCAAGTTAAGATGTGGTCATGCTGGCATAGGAAGGGCCCTTAATCAGCACAGCTGGTACCCTTACAAGAAGAAAAGATGCGTAGAGACAGACAGAGAGGGAAAAAGGCCATGTGAAGACAGAGGCAGAGAATGGACTGATGCTGCCACGAGCCAAAGAATGCCTGGTGCTTCTAGAAGCAGGAAGAGCCGAGGAAGGATCCTCCCCTAGAGGTTTAGGGCCCTGCCAACTCCTTGATTTCAGACTTAAAGTCTCGAACTGGGAGAGAATAAACTTCTGTAGTTTTAAGCCTCCCAGTTTGTGGTAATTTAAGACAGCAGCCCTAATACAATCACCGAAAACAAGGAGAAATGGAAGAGTGACTACTGACTATACTCAAGTCTTTTACTTTTCCCCAACAATGCTAATTAGTGAAAGCAATGGATCATTAGGGAATAACAATATTAACAACAAAGTAATATATGAATGTAAGTTCCCTGAGGGCAGGATATATGTATCTCATACATCTCATTATCTCCTGCAGCACCTAGCAGAGGGTCTCGATCATAGGAAGTGCTCAGTCACTGTCTGTTGAGTGATAAATGAATCGTGAACAAACGTAAGGAATGAATGGTGTCCACACATATCTGTGCTTTAAGTGTTGTACTGTAGGTACAGCTCACACGAATTCACCACATAAAAAGGGCATAAAAGGTATTTGAAACTAGTCCCTAGAATGAGTGATGGTAAAGTAAAAAATATATAGAAGTTCTTTTAGATCTAACTAAATTTAATTTAGACTAATTAAAAACAAATGTAAAAGTTTGGATAGTACATTGATGGTTGAATGCTCCATATTCTATATTTCAATTCTATAACTTCTAGCTGAAAGAAAGGATTTTTTTCCCCTTAAGTATGTCACAAAGGGATTTATTCGCTAAACTTGTCTCTGCATAGTGAAGAAAAATACATTATGTTGTTGAAAAAAATCAACACAGGAAATCTTTTTCTTGAAAATTACAAACCAAAGCATTCTGTTTCTTAGCAAAAGCTGAACTTTTTACCAAATGCTTTCACTATATAAGCTTGTTTTTGGACAAGACTTAAAACAATTTTTTTTTAACAAACCATACACAAAACTCCTTTCTACTTACTCCAGTGGCCAGTGACAGAAACTTGTTAGGAATCCTAAGTTCTTCAGTTGTAACTTAGCTGTAAAGTTTTATAAGGTCCCCATGCATAGCCATAACATTTGTAGTCTATAGATTTTGAGTAAACACAATTTTTATCTCACCTTCAGCATCCAACATTTTAGGAATATCCAGGTGCTTCTCTGCAATTTCCATGGCCAGGTTAATATTTCCTATGGGGTCATCCTATATGAAAACCAACACAACCAGTTTTTTAAAATATATTTTGAAACAGGATTTATGAATAATGTTTTTTATACACCTCACTTTGGGCAGAATGCCTTCCCACCCCATACAGCCATAATAGTGTAAGTAACTCTCCTTCTTATCTTTTCCCAATCACTTCAAATGTTTAGAGAAACATCAAAAATCACAGAAACCACACAATCCATGCACACTCCAATGTATAAAACGTGAGCAAAAGGTTTAGGAGAACAAATGCACTGACAAGAAACAACACCCTGAATACATCAGAGCTCATTTTCAAGCCTATAAATAACAAAATCTGAATCATTCTAGGGGATGGACACTCTTGAAGCTCTACCTCGGGTGGGGCAAAGGCAATATATGTTACCTAAACATTTGTACCCCAGTAATATGCTGAAATTACAAAATAAACAAATCATTCTAAAAGAAATATACATAACGTAACAAAATAAACTTAAGCAGAGGTGTATAACTAAAATACTAAAAACAAAGAAGGCTTAACATTTCTTGTTGTGATCTATTAGAGAAATTAACTATTATGAATTTGAAATGGGATTGGGGGTAAGATAGAAAAACCAGAATGAAAAGTAGTGTTAGTCCGGAGATGACTTCAATGAATTTTAACAGCAAAGCCATTGCAACATTTTAGAAACTGCAACACTTTGCACTGAGCTCAATCATTTTCATATGGTAAAACATTTGAAAAGTGCAGGCTTCAAACACATTCACAGTGTGCTCATGAAGAAACCAAAGTCAGCTTTCTGGCCTCGCAGAGTGTACAATTATTTCAGGAAAAAAAATTTTTTTAACTTAATGTTGTTTTAACAAAGCATACCGCCATTTGATTGAAAGCAGTCATATCATTATGTGAATCTTACCTGCATATTTTACGCAAATGTTTATGAAACCAAATAGCTGAGTAAAAGTTTCTTTTTTTCAAAAAACACAAGAGAGAGAATTTCAGCATTAAAATCACACAGTGATGATTCTGAGAGTTTGTGAAAGCTATTGCATTTAGTCTGTAACTTAAAGAGACAAAATGTGGCAATTAAGTATTTGCTAGCTCAGCTACTGGCCATGTGACCTTGGGTGGATTACTAACTTCTCACTTTCGTCATCTGCAAAACAGGGATAATATTATAAAAGTACCTACTTTATAGTGTTATTGTGCATTGTGAAGATTCAATAAATATATATGTATGTGACTTTATATATTAATATATACATATATGCTTGTGCATATATACACATGTATGTTTATTTATAACAGTGCCTGATCTGGCACCATGTAAGTATGAGTTGCTATTATATTGTTTTTCCACCCATCTTAGATGGTCAATTACTACAGGTCAATTGAACTTTTGTAATAAAAACTGACCATGGTAAACTGCTCATGAAACTTGGTCTATCCAGTACAATTCCCTCATTTTGCAAATGAGATAAAGATTAATTGAAAAAAATATAAACTGTCCATATGTTTGAAACATTTCAGAGTAACTCAGGGGGATAAGAAAATATATGCATTGAAAAGGTGAGAGAAAGCTCCATTTCTTAGGCAAACTTACAGTATTATAGTCCTTTTTTTTTTTAAGAGATGGGGTCTTGCTATATTGCCCAGGCTAGTCTCAAACTCCTGGGCTCAAGCAATCCTCCCGCCTCAGACTCCTGAGTAGCTGGGATTACAGGAATGCACCACCATGCCCAGTTTAGCATTGTAGTCTTAATCTTTAAGAAACAAGTGAATTTTTCATGTGCTACCCTGTAGTCCATGGAGACAGGCTGGGTTGGGAGGGTGGACAAGTGATAACTAACACGGTGGTAGAAACCAGGACACTTTTCTTATAACCATCCATGCCACGCAGGTGAGGGCAGCATGCAGCAGGGCCAGATTCCACACCAAAACACAGCAACACCACGTGAACGTCAAGCTAAGCACACCAGCACCCAGAGGAAATGTTCAGTAAACACGGCTGTAGGAATCTGTAGCAGGAGTGGGCACCACTCTCAGCTCTTAAATCGTCATGTGTCATTATTTCTAAGGCAGCGTAGATCATCCACCACAAGATTCAGAATCCATCACAGATTACATTTTAAAACTACTTTTAAAGAAAGAATTTGAATTCTAATCTGAGACTTAAGCACACTAAACCTTCTGTTTAAATAAGAATTAAAGTTTTCTAACTTGAAATTTCTGGGGAAAAAAAAAAAGCAAAACCAAAAACACCAAAACCAAACCAAAACAAAAAGCCAAACCTAAAAATTTCTTTTCTAAGGCTGAGACTAATATCTTGGATCAATAGTGAGATAGTTATGAAGTACCCCTTGTATGAGAAACAAGTTAATCAATTCTGAGTAAATACATATGCAACTAAATCCTCCAGAAAAGGTAAAAGGAACTAAAAAAGGCTTGGAGTGTTTGAGCCTTTCTTCTCCCCAAAAACATAGGCTTCACTCTTCATATTTACAACACAGGAATGTAAAATCTCTAGGAAACATACAGAAAGCCTTCATAGTAAACCAACCCAAATCAACAAACATATCTTTATATGGGCAAAAAGGGATGGCTTAGCTTTGGGTCCTGTCCTCCCTAGTTGTAAAACCTAAGTGTTCCTGGCTGCCCTTCATCTTTTCACCATGGGCAAGGCTAGCTGGGAGAACATGCTTTTTCCTGGTGGCCATTTCTGCATGCGGCCTTGGGGTTTGTGCTGGTTCAGTGCTGATGTGCTCATTCTCAGGACGACATGCTGAGGCACACGGGTGGGGACACTGCATGCCAGGCCACCCAGAACGACCTTGTTAAGCTTTGAGTAGTCAATGAGGTCAGGCCGGTGTCTGTGGATGAGGGCACAGAGTCCAAGGCCATCTTTCCAGCTTCACAACCGTTGAGAAGAACAGGAACACATGTTAGTGGAGAGAAAGCAACAGCCAGGTTCCATAGTCGGGCAGACACTGGCCTTCCTTCTGTCTGACCTAAAGCATGGCGGCCCCCTGTCACCTTCCTCCTTATCCCACCCAGTGGGCTGGTGGCCCCTTGCACGCCCGTCTTCTTCTCGGGGTCTGCTGCAGACATCCACCCCCTTACCCCTGGGCTTTCCACTTCCAGTGTCAGGCCCAGCCTCGCCAGAGACCTGCTCTGTTTCTGGACCCCCTCTGTGTCCCCTGGCACAGATGGGGACCAGAGGGGAGATGCTGTCCCTGCCCTGCCAGTCCCAGGTTTCCTCCTCTCTCTCGGCCAAGTCTCTGTTCTGCCCCTTACTGCCACCCACCCCAGGTCTGCACAATAAACATACACAAGGACGTCTACCCTGACAATGTCCAGGACACACTTCCTCCAAGAGTTCTTAGGATGTTTCAAAAGCCTCCATTAGCTGCCAGGTACTCTTCTGTCTTTCTTCATAAGGTTCTTTGCTGTTATTTTACTTTAAGGCAAAAGCGTGTTGGTGAGGGAGGACATACAACTAGCAGGGCGGATGCTGATTTCTAGTCTGCTTCCACACAGACACCAGCACTAACTGCTCCCTGGACAGTGCCAGGCTCTGAGCTTGCCAGTGACGGCAGGCTCCGTGAGAGTGGGCAATGGGAGTTCTGTGCCTCGAAAGTTCAGGGGCAGGAGAAGACGCTGGTGGGAGTGTCATCACTACACTGGTGAAGTGGTTGGGTCAATCTGAGGCCAAAGAAGAAAAGCAGGAAGGTGAGTGGAAGCCAATCTGGTGCTCTGACATTGACACCAGCAGAAAGTCCCAGCCCTTGCCGGCTCCTCTCATCTGCCAAACAGCGTGTTGTAGGGACAGGGAAGGCTCCTTTCTGCCCTTCCTACTCTCAAGGCCTGGCTCAGTGCCTGACACGTGCTAGACATCCTAAGAATACTGTCTAACTAGAAGACTCTCCCCAGTTTTTCAACGTGGCTCATCCTTACACTTCTTTCCTCTCATTATCCATGGCCAGAGGTGGGCCCATTCACATGCAGGGGTAACCCACCATCCAAAAGGTGAAAATATAACCAACTCATCTTGTACACATAACAGTGACAAAAAATCTGCATGAGAAAGAAGACTGAAGTGACCAAATCACACTTTAATATAACATCTGGATTTCATTCATCCCATTTTCTTATACTTTTTCAGACATAATTTTCCTACTTCTCTTGAATTTTGGCAGAGCAAAGGTGACGGATGAGGGATGTTTCCATCTGCTGCAGGGCAGAGGGATCAGGAGTAGCTTGTGCGTGGACCACTCAGACTCTGCTAGAGTCTCACCACCTCTGAGAAGCAACAGCCATTCCTGCCGCCTTCTTGCAACACCAGGTGAGGGCCAAAGTGAGGGGTTTTCTCACAACCCCAAATTCAGAAGGACCATTCTGGCACTGCATACCATTCACTTACAAATACAGGGCTGTTTTGTCAGCATCTCAAACCTTAATCCAATGTTTTCCCGTGGGAGACTCCAAACATCAAGAATTCTATAGCCTTAGTTTTCCTCCATACATAAAATGCCTCTCAGACAGGAGAGGAAAACAGTAGTGTGAATAAACACTGTCCTCCCTGCCACCCAAGGATTCCAGTGAGGATATAAGGATCTTAAGGGCCCTGGGTGCTTACCTAGTGTGGAAGTTCTGAATGTTCACATTTCTATAAGGAGCGGTTTTCCTCTGACACCAAAGCAGCAGACCTTCCTTGGCAGATGTTTCTGTAATGACAGCCAAGAAAAAGTGTCCACAGGGAAATACTCACTGGCTTAGTTCACCCAACTCCTAGTTGCTTTTGAAACAGACTTCCCAGGGGGCCGGATCATCAAATGCATCATCTCTTCTCACTGCCTCTGCAAGCATATGGAAGCTGGAACCCTGATCCCAGTGACTAACTCCTGGTGACACTTACAGGGCTTCAAAAGCACAATTCAGGAAGCACTGTAAGTTCCAACACAAAAAAAAAAAAAATACTAAAACCAGACTTTGGGGTAATTGGTAACTTATTCTTCTTTTAGTAAAAGTGATTTTTTAAAATGTGGGGGGTACCCTACTGTGTGAGGTGACATTGGGGACATCTATTATTCTGGACCGGAGACTTTGACTCCAATTTGGAGGCTGGTAGGATGTTTCTGACCTCTCCCTGCCTACAGATTGATTGTCTCCTTAAAATATTAGTAAAATATGACATTAGGCACAATCTCTGATTAAAGTGTGTCTGATAGGACAATCTGATCCTTTGTATCAGCTTAATGTTTACTGTATACAATCCTGAAAAATATGTAAACATGAAGAAATGAAAGCAGTCTATAGTGTAACTCACACCAAAAAAATGTGAATACTTGATGACAACTAACCCATCAATTCAACTTGCTTATAATTCATACTCTCAGGTAAATGGAATCCACAAAAGCTACTATATCTGAAATGTATTCCCTTCCTCAGTGATTTTATAATATTTAAAGGGTTTTGGCCCGGCGAAGTGGCTCATGGTAATCCTAGCACTCTGGGAAGCGGAGGTAGAAGGATCGCTTGATGTCAGGAGTTCGAGACCAGCCTATGCAAAAGCGAGACTCCATCTCTACTAAAAATAGGAAAATTTAGCTGGCCATGGTGGTGTGCGCCTGTAGTCTCAGCTACTTCAGAGGCTGGGGCAGAAGTACTGCTTGAGTCTGAGCTTGAAGTTGCAGTGAGGTATGATGACACCACTGCGCTCTAGCCCTATCTCAAAAAAAAAAAAAAAAAAGTTTTATTGGTAAATTTCAGGTTTGGCCACTTGAGTTTTGACCAAATTAAATAAAATCACCACCACCTGTGGTGGCCACAAAAATGTGCTGCTCAGACTTCCTGCGGCTGCTGCTGGGAGCACAGGGCAGGCAGCTGGCATGCCAAATGCAGCCCTCTGAATGCACCCCTGCATTCCCATGGAGACCACACTTCCCCAGGGCTGCTCCAGCCCAAGACTGGGGTGGGGCATAGAGCTGGGCCACCCCTGCCTGACATGGGATTCCTTTCAGAGCAGCTGAGACTTAAGGACTCCCCATCGGTCCAGCTGAATCAATCTCAGAACTGCACTGCAGTCTGAGACCCTTCTTCCCCAAGCCTCCTCCCTTCCCTTTCTCGGCCCAGGTGTCGGTCAAGCACTGTGGCCTGGACTCCTCAGACATCTCTTGCTCCCTCTCCATTGTCCTGCACAGGCACTTCCCCCAAGAAATTTCTTGCACTTCTGTTATGAACTGAATGTTTACGTCTCTCCCCCTCTCCCACCAAATTCATATGTTGAAGCCCTGAACCCCAATGGGATAGTATTTGGAGATGGGACCTTTAGGAGGTGATTAGGGTTAGATGAGGTCATGAGGGAGAGGCTCTCATGATGGGATTAGCACCCTTATAAGGAGAGACATCAGAGGGCTTGCCCACTCCCATGCTTTCCCACCCCCAGCCCCTACATGTGATGCCAAGCAGGAAGGCAGCTATCTGCAAGCCAGGAAGGGGCCCTCACCAGAACCAGACCATACTAGCCCCCTGATCTTGGACTTCAGCCTCTAAAACTATGAGAAAATAAATGTCTATTATTTAAGCCACCGAGGCTATGATATTTTTTTATGAAGGCCCAAGGAGACTAAGACAATTTCTAATATGTCTTGGTACCTGCTTCTTCGAGGACCCAAACTTACATGCATCCAAATAGCTTCTCAAAGCCACTTACGTAACCTAGGATTCCACTCATATTTAAATGTTAACAATTTAGAAAGTCCCTATAAGTACATGGACTCTAACACTAGGCCCTGGCCTTCCATCTTAGGGAGAGCTTAAAGTTGATTTTTTCAAATCAAAATAAATATTTTCTAATTTCTAATTATGTGTCTAATCTGTCAATAGACTGTCTTTCACTCATAACACAGGTGAAATATACACACCCCAAAAGTTTCATTTATTGTAAGAATAACTTTAATGACTGCTGTTCATATCTCTTATCTAGAAAACTCTAGTTAAGGAAAAAAACTGAAATTTCTAAGACTTTATTAAAATATTAATTGGTATGGATGCTGAAATATGAAACTCCATATCTAGCAGTTGTGCTACATACATAACTGCCTGTCCAGTCCTGACCGTTGTAATTAATAACGACATCGGGAGGAAATTACAGGCTGTATTTGATAAAGTTTACATGAAACCTGCCAAGTGAGAAGAGTAAATAGAGGTACAGTAGAGACCTACAAAATTCTAAAACTGCTGCTGCTGAAGTTTAGATTTACAAGTCATTGAGTTTCGCCTAATTTCTGTCTGAATATGTGTGAACACTCAGGCAATGAATGTCAAACAAGATTTTCTCCTTATTTAACTGGTTACTCCAACCAAAGGTGGCCTACCTCTCCCCAACTGCCAAGGCCATTTTTAGGCTTTCAACAAAAGCTTAACAAGCCTGTGCCAATGATGAACATGACTGGAATACCCTACCCCTGACAGGTGCAGGGGAAACCCAAAACATGGCCATTTGGCACAAACGGGTCCACACTCAAAACCCTGATTATGGGTGTAAAAGGCATGTGATAGACTGGCCGTGTCACTTGTCATTCCATCATAAAAAACAGTATGATGCCCCAAGGAGTCCCATCTACTTACACCGGACTGCCTTCAATAACAGACATATTAATCTCTCATTTTCTTTCTTGGAAGAAGCCCATGATTTTTTGAAGGAAACTGGCTCCTCCAAGAATTTGGTTTTAAACAATGTCTTTTTCTACATAGTGTACATCATTAAAACAGATAAAGATGATTTTTCTGTAGGCTTGTGGAAATTAAGTAAGGTTGCTAAAAAATTACTCCATAAAACTAAAACAAATAAAAATATAAGTTAGCAAACTAACATTACCTACTGTGTGGGACACTGAAGATTGTTGGTTTCAAGAGAGTTAAGTACTTTGCTAATGAAATTACCACCTTTTTTTTTTTTTTGAGATAAGTCTTGCTCTGTTTCCCAGGCTAGAGTGCTGCTAGCTCACAGCAACCTCAAACCCTTGGGCTCAAGCGATTCTCCTGCCTCAGCTTTCTGAGTAGCTGGGACTACAGGCAAGCACCACCATGCCCAGCTCATTTTTTCTACTTTTAGTTGCTTGGCTAATTTCTTTCTATTCTTAGTAGAGACGGGGTCAGTCCCACTCTTGCTCAGGCTGGTCTCGAACTCCTGACCTCAAGCAATCCTTGCACCTCAGGCTCCCAAAGTGCCAGGATTACAGGCATGAGCCACCATGCCCAGCCAGAAATTACTGCTTTTTAATGTTTAATTTCTTAATCTTGTGAGGAACAGGTTAATATATCCCCTTATTGTGACATTTTATAAAATACTGTGATTTGACTATCTTATTTTGGGCCTATTAATGATTTGGGGGAAACTCTAACAGTTAGACAATATATTCATAGCTACGCTTGAAATAGAATTAAGTTTTAAACTCATATTATCACTAATTTAAAATTTGTAACCCATCATAAAAAACCTGGGGTCAAGTTCACCTCTGTAATATCTGTGGAAAAAGGATTTGCTAGTCCAGCTAAATGTAATAGCGTGAACAAGATTTTTAAAAATAGTATTTATTCTTTAAAGTGAGTTTGAGTTTGACTGTTTAAATATTTAAATTTAGAAGTATATAAAAACAGATAAATTATTACAAATTACTATTTTTTAATAAAGCAGGAACTTTTAGGAAGCATCTTATTCTTTTCAATAGCGTAAAGGAATATACTTTAATAAAACTACATTGTGCAAAAGCTCTCAAATTCAAGACTATTTATTAATTCAAACTGTCATTCCTGAGCCTGAATTATTGAGGTTTTAATGTCATCATACCTTAGTTTGATTTTCAGATGACATAAATGAGTCTTCAGTGCTAGAATAATCTAAGTGAATTAAAAGCTCCTTAAGGGCAAGTACTGCAGGCTTCATGTCACCTGGCACAACAGTAGGCAACGTTTCTTCCTTGATAAATAACTAAAATCACTTAAAAAGACCAGAGTCAGAGGGTACTCTGGCCTAGGGAGAATTATAAATGATACCCCTACCCATCACCATTCAGGTACCTGGTTACCTGTTAGGTTACAAAGGAGAGGCCAACTAGTTGGACAATTCAGACTGCCTTAAACTATTCTGCAGTTAAACATTTTGTGATCTGAAGGCTAAATAGGCAAAGTTCTAATTTTAAGAATGCCAATTTGACACTTTTCAACAGTGCTGAATTTATCAAAATATTTGGGAGTGCAGTGGGCGTGAAAGACTAAAGATTTTTATCTTCAGTGGCAGTGCCAAGGATTAAGATTCTATTACAATGATGAAACAGTTGTTAGAGAGACACAGTGGCAATAGAGATTTTTGTTTAAAAAAAAAAAAAAGAAGAAGAAGAAGGAGAAAAAAGAAAAGAAAAAGGAAGGGAAGGAGGCAAATAAACTAACTTGGGTTGTAACAGATTATTTTTTTGCACCTGGAAAAAAAAAGTGTTTCAGTTGTGAGCCTAAAGAACTCTGCATAGCTGTGAATTTACTAGTATAACAAACAATCCAGAAGCTCAACAAATGCTCATTTTAAAAAGTGACTTCTGTTCTGAATATGTGCTCATCTTTTCCAAAATGATTCCACCCCCATTAACGAAACAGTGTTGCCAGGGTCTTTTCCTGCACGAATATAAAATTCATGAAAACCCAACTTACATGCCTTTCATTCAATCGTGTTAAGTGTTCAACTTGATAATATCTTATCCAAATTTTGATTTACAAGTTCAATTTACAAATCATACAATTAGACTTCTAACCACGTCTTTTACCTTCAACTGAAATATCCTGAATAGCAAAGCGAAGGATGATGGTCCAGATCATACCCAGGGTCATTTTCACATTGCCATCAACAATTTCTGTAGGTAAGAAAACAACAAATCAATGTAAAGATAACATAATGAGTATGTAACTTTTTTCCCAATGTATAAATTTTGACTTCAGAGCTATTGGGAGATATACATATGGAAAGACTAGTTTATGTTTTTATAAGCATCGCAGTGTGTCTGGTTATAAATACGGTATTCATAACCAAATGTCTTCAGTTTAAAATGAATTCTGAGTTAATAATAAGCACAAATCTTGCATATGCATTATCACTGAAAACCACCCAGGAGTTTCCAAAGTTTTAAGACTAGATGAGCTAAGGTTTTAAATAATCAAATAAAGAGAACACAGTCTCATCTTCATCCTGATCCTTCTTACAGCACTTCCCAGCTGGCAGATAGCAGGACTCAGCAGTTGTGCACAATGAGATGCAGGTAGTTGCAGCTCCTATGGACCTCACCAGATTCCCAAATCTGCCACCAAGAACAAAGAGGCCACTTCATTCCTATTAATTGCTCTTATTAAGAGTCATTGGCTTGTATAAGTTCTTTCTCCTTCCTGTAAGTGGTCTGAAGAAGACAGTGTTATATGGGAATCTATTCTTTGCAAATAACCTCTAGAGCCTGGTCTCCCACTCATGGTACCATTTGTTCTCATTGCCACCCACGCAGCACCTAGCAGAGAGCCAGACACAAGGTGGGCATGGTAAAAGGTGGAAGGGAAAGAGGAAGTAGAGAACTCAAGTCACAGGCTGCACCTCTGCTGGGAGGTCAGACTGGCAGACAGGGTTACCCCATCACACCTCTTACCTTCCGCCCCGATGGACACCAGTTTCACCCCTTTGCTGGCTATGTAATCCAAAGCTTTGTTGACATTAGCAATTTTGTGGAACCGCATTTTTCCTCGGTCAGGTTTGGGCAGCCTTTCCCCTGATGGGTGAAAAGAGAATAGTGCAATCAGAGAGAGCGACCCCTTATGAGGAATCAAGATGCCAAAATTCAGAGTCCACGCTTTCCTTAAACAGAAATGGTTATGTGACTATTTCTGACGTGTGCCCGGTTTCCCTACATCACAGTAAAGAAGGAACACTAACCTAAAAAAACCTTGCAGGATCAAATGGATCATTGGGCAACCATACTATTAAGGCCATATGCTTTTTGGATCTGCAGGGTGAGTCCAGTTTGGCCCATGATCCAACTTACATATGAGTAAATAGAGAAGCTGGTTAGTGTCCCTGGAGCATTCGGAGTTGCTGGCTAGCTGTTGGAGGAAATCAGGATGCCTAGTTCATACCCAGAGGTGGCTGCCAGGGCTTGTCTTTGACGTCTGATTATGAAGATATATGGATCAGGGCAGTTCTGCCCTCACCCCTCCCAGTCACACTTCCTCAAAAGTGATCCACTCTCTGGTCCAAAGTTTACATCAGCCAACTGAAATTCAGGGCAAATTATAACCTCACTGAGATTTTACTTCATATGTTCAGAGTTACACTAGCATGTACATTGGCTTTTTGGATACAAGATGATTTCTGGAATACACACTAACTAGACCAAGAGTAGAGAGAGCAGCATGGTGGGTAGTCAAGTAAATGCCATTTTTTCTTCTCTTATTTTGTTTCGAGGTAGGTGGCATAAACATTATTTTAATAAGTCAATTTTAAACAGAATTCACTCCGTCTTTAGAACAGAAAAATAACTCCAGGCAGATTGCTCTCTGGAAAGGTTTTCTTTGCCAATAATACCATGTTCTCACCTAGCCAAGTTCAAGGAGAACTTTTGATGTAATCATCTTCAAATAGACGCTTACCTACTGATTACACATAAAAATATAGGACTGGGGTATATTAATACCAACCTGAGATGACTTCCAAAAGCAGCATGAGCTTAAGGCCATTCCTGAAGTCTTCCTCGATGTTCTCAATCTGGGTGCCAGCTTTCCTTAGGTGGGAGTTACACCAGGCGGTGAAGGTCTGCAACGAAAACCAAATACCACTTAGCACAGGCCCATTAGTGGTCAGACCCCCTCAGCATGGACAACACTCGACACCTTCCACATTGGAGGAGTCTATGGGGTTGGGGCTTCTTGGGTCTTCTAGAGAATGCAGAATTTGATAGAAAAGAGAATTGGTAACCCAAAGGTAAGAATTCTGTAAAATTTTCTCTTTAGAGACAAAAACTCATTTATTTGATATTCCAATCTGAAGAATTTTTGCCTTCAGTTAAAAAGGTACCATGTTTATACCCAAACCATCACCTTCTGAAACGTCTTACTTTGTAGAAAAGACAGACTGAATTAGGATGTGCTTATTCCCTGCCTACAACAAAAATATGCTTGTTTGCAGAATGGATGAATAAATAATGTTTAGGGAATGTTCAAAATGTCTTACTGTAGAGCAGAGGATGGGAGATATTATGTAGCAGAAAGGAGGAGAGAGGAGGGACCCATAACCACTAATTATCTACAACTACTTTACATTGGATGAACAACGGTTTTAAGCTAGCAACTAAATCAATTAAACAAATTTGCAGTGTAGTCAATTATTTAAAAAATAGTAACAAGTACAATAACCTCCTACTAGCATATTCCAGGCCCTGGACTAGAGCCTGGATTTTAAAGATGACTAGATACAGCCCTGCCCTGGAAGGGCTCACAGTGCAGTCATGTTAACAAATTACTAGGACAATCTTCAGCAGAAAATGGACTGTATATTAAGTGGCATCCACAGTCATTCTGTTTATTTTTCAAGCTTCTTTTAACTTGGCTTCCACTTGTGTGCTATTTCCTGCCAAATCCAGATTAGAAATCCTTCTGGCAGCTGTTGGCTAAGAATGCAAACTGTCCCCTCATCTCACAACAGCTGCTGGGCTCGAGAACAAAGTGCCTGGTACGTCAAACTAGAGGGCAGGGGACATGTAAGGAAGGTTTGTGTTCAAGATGAGAAAATCACCTACCAAGAGTAGGCTGCTTCCAAGTAAGACCACAAAAAGACAAAGTGTCCATAAAAATGATTTTCCTGAGGAAGAAAGAGGATTTTTAAATCTAATAGTCCCTCATTTCAAAAAATATGTGAATGGCATTAAATTCAAGGACAAGAAGAAAATGTAGGCATTTTCTTGGATTTATAGTAATAAATTTTACCCAGAGAGCCTAAATAATAATTATTTCTTCTAAAACAAATCTAAATCCTTAGTTAGGTCTACACAGAAAAGATATTCTAAGCCATGTACTTGAGATCTATGTGCTCAGTGTGGTAGGCCCTAGCCAGAGAGGCTTTTTAAACTTAAATTAAAAATTTACCTCTTCAGTTGCACAAGTCATTTTTCAAGTGTTCAAAAGCCACACACATGGTTAGTGGCTACTGTATTGGATGGTGCAGATTTACAACATTCCCATATAACAGACAGTTCTGTTGGATAGCGCTACTCTAGATAATTGGGTTTGGTTTGGTTTGGTTTTTGGAGACAGAGTCTCCCTCTGTCACCTGGCCTAGAGTGCAATAGTGTCATCATAGCTCACTGCAACCTCAAATTCCTGGGCTCAAGCGATCCTCCTGCCTCAGCCTCCCAAGTAGCTGGGACTACAGGCACATGCCACTATACCTAGCTGATTTTTCTATTTTTAGTAGAGACACAGTCTCACTCTTGCTCAGGCTGGTCTCCAACTCCTGGCCTCAAGCGATGCTCCCACCTTGGCCTCCCAGAGTGCTAGGGTTGCAGGCATGAGCCACTGTGCCCAGTCAGTTTTGTTTTTTGAAGGTTATTATAAGAATCCATTATTTATTTATTTAAATGTTAATTCTGTGTGTTTACTTTTTGAATGGGTAACACATTTCCTTGGTTCCAAATTCAAGTGGTACTAAGGGTATAAAGGCAAAAGCCTTCGTCTCACGCTTGTTCCCGAGCTACCCAGCGCCATGTTCCAGAGGGAACAAAAATATCAGTCTCTTATGTATCTCTTCAGTGATATCTATGCATACATAAAACATACAGACACATATATCTTTTTTTTAACACAAATCATAATATGCACATTGTTCTGCACCTTGTTTTTTTTTACCCACTTAAAAAAATATAGCCTAGAGATCATTCCATATCAGTACAGATCATTCTTTTTTATGGCTGCATAGTATTCCACTGTATTGTATACACCATACTTTATGTGATTAGCTCCCTATGGATGAAAGTTTAGGTTGTTTTCAGATAATTAATTTCTTACAGTAAAAAATATCCCAGGCCCTGTCTTCAGCAGGTAAAACTACTTAAAAGGATTTTTTTTTTAACTGACAGTATTGAGACTAATCATATACCTGACCTTTTGGGAAAGGCACAAGAAAATAGTAGGTTGTGATTTTTTTTAAAAAAAGTAACTGATAGAGAGAAAATATAATGATATAAACATTTATAGAGTATTTTTTATTTAAGTTCTACTTAAAAATGGGCAAATATTGCTGGTGCAAGTCACTATACCTTATTATAGCATTATTTAAGTCTCTTCATAATAAAAGTATCAGAAGCACTTTTGGATATAACCCCAAAAGCTGCTCATGAAATCAATGTAAGCTTCCTGACCCCCACTGGGAATACTGTAAAAGTCTGTTTGATACTACATTTTTATAGGTATACATACAATGAAGGTAATTTACCATAGGTAATTATTTGGTTGTGCAAATTCAGAGAACGAATTTAATCTAAAAGGTCAATTTATTTAGTTGAGTTAAGCCTAATGAAGTTTCCCTGTCTTTAATGAGTACTGCTAAGAGCCAGCAAAGGTGGTAACTAACCAACTTAACTGTGGAAAAAGGACTCCAACTGTTCTGTGATAATAGCTTGCAAAGAGGCCAGTACATTCTGAAAAGGAGTTTTAAGCTTTATTAGAATGTTTAATTTTTATTCTATTTCCTGTTTTAATTACCATGGCCTAGGGGGACTATTCCTACCCACTTCCCATCACCTCTGTTTCTGTGAAAAGCCTTTTAATCTTGGAGATAAAAACAACAGCAACAACAAAACTCCACACATGTGACCTGAAGACTTCTTTGTGAACTTTCTTGCTATTTGAATTGCAAAGTGCATCTAGAAGGTCCATGAAAACTAAACTTTGAAGAACTCAAATGAGAAGAAAGGTAGGTCCACATGATTCTGGAGGCAGGCTCTTTGGTTCAAACTAGATTACCAAACCAGAAGTCCTTTCTTAAGGGAAATGCTGTTCTATTGAACCAGACACAGACCATTGAGGAAAGAGGCCAACGTCTCCCCAACCCATGGCTCAACCAGAGGTTGCAAACATGAGATCCCCATACCTCCTCTTTTGCTTCCAACTCAAACCCTTCCTCTACCTCTCTCCTAGAAAAAAGCTTATTCTCTGTTCCTCTGTATCTAGCCATAAATACAAATGCTTTTAGCATCTTGAAAATGGGCACATCAAAAAGTTTCAGAGCCACACAAAGAGGATCAAGATAGGAAAATGCAAAACCATCTATCCCCAGGAAAGAAAGACAAATGTTTCTAGTCTTTATCAACTGCCAAAGAAGTTAATACAAAGCTAAGGGAAACAGTGTTCAAGTCAGAGAAAAGATGGAAATGCAGTGAAAGACATCATCACTACATCTATGTATGTATGTATGTATATGTATATGTGTGTGTATGTATGTATGTATGCTTTCACGTGGTAAGACTGAAGGATACTTGAAATTATCAGCAGACCCCGCTTTTGTTATATTCCTGAACATGATCTAGAGGCCCAGAAAATGCTCCTCAACCCCCAAAACACAGTGGTTGAGAAAAATACCTGTTGAAGGAATTTCCCAGGAAATTCTTGCTGTTAACAAGAATTGTTAGCCCCATTCAACGGTGGGAGAGGCTGCTGTGTCTTTCATGAAGGACTTACTAGCAAAGTCCCTAGTCCATGGGAATTATAAAACTATTGCCTTTCTCAGTGAAATTATATAACAGGACAATCAGCACAATGTGTTTAACAGCAAAAAAGTACTTATGTCCTTACTGAATTGTTGTTTTTTTTTTGAGACAGAGTCTCAACTGTGTTGCCCGGCCTAGAGTGCCGTGGCGTCATCCTAGCTCACAGCAACCTCAAACTCCTGGGCTCAGGCGATCCTACTGCCTCAGCCTCCCGAGTAGCTGGGACTACAGGCATCCACCACCATGTCCGGCTAATTTTTTCTATATATTTTTAGTTGTCCGATTAATTTCTTTCTATTTTTAGTAGAGACGGGGTCTCGCTCTTGCTCAG